ATGGTGGCGTTCCAGAAAGGGTTGGGAAACAATCTGTAGTTTCTAACTGAGCAACTTTTCGCTTCGTCAGGTGGCACGAGAGGCTGATAACTCATGATTGCGTCTGTGACACTCGATCGATAAGTGCTTTTCTGGGTATGAATGAGTCAGCAACGTATCACGTGTCTATAGTACCGTGTGCACTAAACTGCTATTGTCACAACAGACTCCGAGATCGTGTTTTGTCCGAAATCACGCCTCGAATCATGCAGCAGGCATCGTAGAAATAGATCCTAAAAATAGATTTAACATCCCGTTCAATTATGGGTAGTTTCAAGGTGGCATTTACAGTACCAAATGCAATTTATTCAAAGCAGTCATGAGCAGCAGCTGAAGTAGACTTTGTTACTCCGGTAGAAGGAAGGAGGTGCCCCTTGAGATTAACTTGAATTAAAACGTAACTCACCTAAATTCTGTCTACACTGGCATAGAATACATCATTTGTTCATAACAGGAGATGAAGTATTAACATTCTTCGATGAGCGGACACAAAGTGATAGTCAGTGTCAACCAAAACCATTGTGAAGTACTGATGTTATCTAGGCAATTACATTTGCAGCATAGCACAGGCTTTGAACTTATCGATAGGATTTTAGACCCAAACTGGAGTATGTAAATTAGCCAATATTTGAAGGTTGTTTTAGAAGGGATGGATGATTGTAACCCAAATATAGTCCATTCGTAATTGCTAGGGGACTCTTTGAACACGTTTGTTTTGCTCAATGTCCTCAAGTCATGGCAGTCATGATTTTCTCGGCAGGAAAGACAAATTATTTTCTGACGTGAAAGACTGTAGACCCTTCAGAAGGCCAGTTTTGGGGAATTTTTTGAAATTCCTGGAAGCGGTGTGTGCCATGAAATCTCACGGGGATACCCAATGCATGAAAGCGTCTCTCTTGAGTAAAGACTAATAAAAAACCGGAGGGAGGTTCAGAGAAGGCCTGCCATTCGAGGTACAACATTCTTAATTTGAAAGACGCAAGGTTACCAAAAGGTTGGCCACTGGAACTTACTCAGCAGTAACTCACACTGATGCTTTTTTTTGCGTGAAAGAAAAGTGAGAGCCGTCGGCTCAAAGGTCCACTTGGATGAAGGGCGCGAAGCCGAAAGAATAACGTGACTCGCGTGCTCGCGTTAACATCAGCACAATATGCATAATTCATATTTCCTCCATTTCTAGGTACGGGCAAAGGTTTCCTGACAACAGTCTGTGAGTTCTGTCATTAACCCATGAATAGCAAACTGGTATGTACGGTTCTGATTATTGCTTTTCTGTTTTATGCTTGCTCAATGGATGAACATTGAAGAATTCTCGAATAGCAGTGACCTACCACATTTTGGGCCAGATAGCTCTCCAATGTTATCGGACAAACTGTGGAAAAGTGGGACACTAGTTGGGATATCAAACGAACCCAAACTAGTCGAACAAAGATGACTGAAAATCAGGATACTGAGATGTGAACTAATACCGAACAATTTAGTTTTCCAGCTTATTGCCGAGACCCGCTATTAGTGTGAGGAGGAAAGCCTTCCGCCGCGGAGTTGGTTATTAGAAAACACCAACTAAACAGTGCAATTTGGGTTTAAGTAGATCATAAGGTTGACGGAAACTCGGAGACTGCGCCTACCTGATGAGCCCCAAGAAGGGCGAAACCGGTCGTGGGCTGTCGAAGAGTTTTCAGCAACCTCGTGAATAGTCTCCTTTATAAAACTCCTGTATATTCATTGACTATCACGCAATGGTAAACCAATGCCGCAAAGCAGTTCCACAAATTCCGTAATAAATTCCACCTTCCATTAGATGAAGTCGGAGTTACGAGAAAACACACACCACTCGAATGCCTCATCAGTAGTATCCACCGTCACATTTGTAGTCAAGCCGTGTCACCGAAATCCACTGGAGTCTTGATTCAGTTTTTCATACTGAATGTCCTGTTACCATTCCAATCGATGAGCATCCAGAATCGTCAGCTTCGTGCACATTCCCTGTCCACTACGGCTCAGGAATTTAGAAGATTCTGGATGTAACTGAAGATCACCGGTTAACATTTATTCAGCTGGACAAAAAATCCATCTAAAGTAAATTTCGACCGGGATAAACACAAAGAACCTAATTTGAATAAATTTATTTCACACAAAAACATCCATCTTCTCCAAAATAGGCAACTTTTAGGCACCAGATATGTTTTCTTTGTTTTGAAAGCAACAAAAGCCTGATTGTGGCCACAATACGATATCCTAATATAAGCCCGTTCAAGATGTCATGTTGTCCGAATTTTTAACAAGCTAGACGTGTCAATTATACCGAAAGGCGATTGAAGTGTACTGGTCGGTTCGTTGTGCCCACTTAATTCTCGTAATTCGTAGGTTGAGACGAAATTCTCGCCGAACTTTTGAGTGAACAATAGACGGATAGTTTCACATATATGTGAATTCTTCTAGACTCTAAAGAATAGTTAAATACTTTTTCTCATTTCAGGCAACTGATCCTGGTAAGCCATTATAAACGTGTGAGAGAACAGTGAAATACATCGACACACTATAGTCAGTTTGTCACCCGTTCTACATAACGCTGTGACACGTTGGACTGCAAATCTATTCACATACGGATAAATCTGTTCAGAAAAACGTATGCATAAGGTGATGATTCGAACTTCTCATTGCTTCTGTTGATTCGCCCCACTGAGCCTCATTCTAACATGCCACACTGAGTTTGTACTAAGTGCGTGCATCCTGTATGATTGAAAAAAAGGCGTACAGCAGTGGAGTAGTTTGTAGCCCAAACCGATATGAGGCACCCCATTGCAATCAGATAGTTCCCCTAGTTCATTGTATCAGTAGTGAGTGAGATAGTGAAGTAATGGTTACAAAATTTTCAAGAATGCACGGGTTATTGGTGCACTGAATGACGAAAAATCACACGAAAAAAATGCAATCGGGGAAGCCCATACTCATGACGAATTGGTCGTCTTGGGATTCTAAACTGAGCGACATCAAGACCACCAGGCGTTCTTGTGCTGTCAATGGTTAGAAACATTGTCAGACATGGTCCAGTCGCGCCCTCAATGGCGTTCATGCATCCAAGCTATTGCCTTCAATGCATAGCTCCCTTCCCAATCCCCCCACTCAACAGTCTACCTACAGTGTTGTATTATACGCACTAATTAATCAGCTCCAGCCTCCAGTGCGCATCTGCTTATTCCCCTGAACCATCGGTGAGTGAAACTGTGGCAGCTACAGCCACTGTAGGAAGAGTACGCGGTTATTAGAGCTGACAGTGATGTGACTGGCAGAGAAAAGGCAGCTAAGTGACCAGGAACCACTGTGTAAGCAAAACGCATAAGGTGGGCCTTGACGAGTTAAAGATACCTCGAAGGTCATCACGTAGAGGATGACTGGGAAAGAGAAGAAATGGGTAGCCTGGTTAGTTCGATGACAGGAAATTCGTTGGGGTTGAATGAAAAAAGACTGAGGCACAAAAATGTAGGGTGGGGAGCATTAGAATTATTGCAAACTATGAACCTTCTGTTGAGAGGTCTCAGGCTATTGGTGGAGGACGATTGAAACTGAAGCTAGGGTAGTAATATGGCCATCTTTCCTAATAATTTACTCCTTTCCTTTATATAAACATTGTTAGCACCCACAAAAATCGACATCGTCGTAAGAGTCAGAACAATTTGATTAGGAGGCCGTACACACCATCTGATCAAAGCTTGTGCATGACTTTCAAGTAGGTATTTTCGCTTCCTGGTATACCAGAGACGTCCCTGGATAGAGCACTGTACAGACTCAACAAAAATGGTCTCTTCCAGAAGGGCCTAAATACCGGAAGAATCATGAAGGGGTTTCATAAGACGGGTGGTCTTTACAGATGGATAAATTTGTGACATTTGTGTGGATAAAAAACAGAACATACGATACTATTTTCAACTATTTACGATGCCATCGTGCCATGCATCAGATACCCATTTGGAGCCAGAATACGTGCAAACCAAGTGCACAATTGTTTTAATCTTGGTCTCTGTTGACATGGTATGCTGCGCCACGGAAACATGAGGAGTGGTTACTGTCAGGAATTTCAGGTGGTTTCAAGCCAAATATCGCCCGAGTGGAATGAAGATGGTCTTTCCATTTGAGGATAGCTGGTTGGGAGTGAGACCGGGTTTGCAGGAAAAAGAGTAGGTTTCCGTAATTGCGTAACGCCAAGCACAAATCGATTTGCAAATGTTTTGGCTTATTTTTTGCTAGCCTGTCAGTAAACCTCCATTCAACATATTCCACCCTTGTTCCTTTGCAGGTGCCGAGATAGACGCAATTACTGGTCATGTGAACCGTTCACTTAAATAAAATCCATTCTTTTCAAGTACCAAATTTTCCACTACAATTCAGAACCATTCTTCAACACAAGGTGGAAGTGAAAGGCACAGAACACCCCTTTCTCAATAGGCGGCTTCAAGTAGTACGAAGCCATGTTTCTGGTTGGGGTTGTGACATGAACCTCCGTCGATAGGGTGATGAATAGCAACCGTACACAGGCGTACTGCACTGGATTACTGAACGCCTACCACTTTCCACTGTTCGGTACAATTTGTATGAGCGTACAATAACATATTTCACTCCATCTGCTGTGAATGCGCTAAAACCGTGTACCTTCGAAGTTCAGTGCTTCATTGAAGCATCTCAGTGAGTCCGTACAGAATGTCCACCATCAATCAATCAGGCCACTGAAACTGAATTAAAAACCACACAACAAAGTAGTTTACCAACAAACACGTGTGGTTTTTCTCCCAGTAAGATTTCTTTATGTAAGGGTGACTTTCACATAAAGACTCCCTCCAATATCCCAGTCCTCTCCGTTAAATTAAGGGGACCTCCTCACCTTAACTAATAACGATCCACAAATAAAGACTACTTAGAGGCGTAGTGAGTGCAAGGCTAATCGTTTATAGATGTCATCTTACCTAAGGTTTACACATGTATGCCTGCTCTGGTCCATGGTGTCCATCGGTGATGGACAGTTCATTTCGGGTTACCTGGAGCAAATCAACCTGTCCTAAAATGTTGGAACCGATCCTGACAACGGAGCCGTCCATTAAGTGAGTAATCACCTACCTAAGCCTTTGTTGTCACACGTTCCCTTAGGATTACAAAACTGCAATGATTGTATGTCCAATCACAACTAGGTTTGCGTAAAAGACAAGGACTTTAAAAGTGTGTTAGGTGTCGTGGTGTGGTCATTAAATTCACATTGGAGATAAGCGTCGGTTAGTCGGGCCAAAATTACTCCCGCTTTTGACTGAAGCCGTATTTCAGCAAATCTAGAAAAGACATGAGAAAAGGGGACCCTTGAGACCCCGTTTTAAGGCTTAAAAGCGTTAGTTTCATGAGGAAGTACATCAAATTCATTTACCGAAAACCAACAAGTTGCACTCGTTTGTAGCCAAACAGCACGTGACCACGTGGATTTCGTGGTTAATGATAAGTGGCGCTATATGCTAAGTAAGAGGTAAACATATTGTTGATCAGCCGCCCATAGCCGAATGGTTAGATTTTCAAAATACTATCCGGGATGCAGCGTGTTCGAAGCTCCCTGGGGTTTTATGTGATCGACCCAGCTGATTATTTCCAATTGGGATGAAACAGCTATACAGTGCTTCTTTTATTCTCACTCACTGAATCAAATGTCCACTGAAAAATCTCAAACTGGACACTACTGACGTTATAACTTTGGCTGCATGTCATGTCGTTTACGCGACTGCTTTATCGGAAAGTTCAAATAGTTATGCTAATCGCAGCAAGGATGGATTTGCATTCACTGTCCGGGTTTCTAGAGACACCCTGATTGTGTCGTGAACCTTGTATTTTCCACGACCAGTGTGGCTAACTATGATCTTGGTTTATAACTGTGTAATAACGCGTCTGTTTATCCTCAAGTATAAAACTGTTATCCACACCTGTCGTTAGTCAATCCCCTGGCCTTAGCGACCCGATGTTTGACCGTTTTAATCTTCGTTCGAATCTTTGGCCAGTTTTTCAGTGTGACACAGATAAACTTGCGTCCCGTGACTCGTTAGATTATGGAAATATGTGTATCACAGTCATTTAATAAGTTTACGCCATATCGACCTAACACTAAAATCGGTGTGAACAGCGGTGGATTTATTAAAACAATTTGATTACTCATGAATAGTGATCAGGTCATCGAATCTCACAGAAGGACGCAACAAGGATTTTTTACTTTTGCCGTAAGTTCACAGTGAAGCTGTCTGGTTCCTGAAAAGCCTAGTCACGCGAGGCTTTCCAAAGCTCATCAGCACAAATGATACCGTTTGACAGTCGAACGCTCCTGATACGCCCTCCCTCCGCACACCCGGAAAGTACTGGCAAAGACAAAATACACCATACGACTGGGCGTTTGATAATAACATCTGATAGGAAAAAGGTTCTTCGTGAAGATTGATGATTTGGATCAAACTACGCGACTGAATTGGCTAGTCCATAAAAACTCGGGTATCCATTCACTCCAAGGCTGTCCGGATGACCACGTCTCTGACAGAGATCTGTTACTTCCACCTACTAGCTTTGCTACTGGACTGATTGGCACGCTGATCCTCCTAGGACAGCCCGCTGGAGGAAAGTAATGGGTCATAGATTCACATCTAGTCCAATACACAATTCAAGCCTGCAAATTTTAATCGGTAGGGCTTCCGCACCGGAACGTTCCCCTGATTAAAAACCAATCGAATCCCGTCCTGGTTTGTTGACGTAAGTGGGAGGTATTATAACATCCGTGCTCCAATCGTTTTTTTTCTGGAATAACCCAAAAGGCCAAACGCTTGATTTGATTTGAAACGTGCTCGAATGTCACTCTTCGTCAAAATGTTTCCATAGGATTGATTATATCTAGGAGCGTGCAGTACTGGCACGCAAGTGAACTGCTTGGTCACTGATTTCAAGGGATATTATACAGATTGGGTGACAACCATGCAGCAGGAGATCAAATACTTACAGGATAGTTAGTAGTTAGGAATTTCAACTGATCAAGTCCAAAATCCATGTATTGCTGGTACTTGAAAGATGCTACAACCCCCACAATTTAGTGATCCACTGGTCAGAAAATCCGCATTTGATCTTGAAAGAGCAATTGATACTAGAAATAGCGAGCCAACGCCTTGTGCTGAAATCGACTTTGAGCGGAAGTAACCTCCCCATACATCCACGGCATATTTCATCGCTTTTCTACTTGGTTTGTTGTGCTATTACTGAATTACTGTTGTATCATTGGCACTGGCCAGTTGTGGTCAAATTTAGCCACATTTTTGTAGATTGACACAACATCAACCCACCTAGTTTCCGGCCGAAAATCCCTGAACGATCCATTCTTGAGCCCTATCCCGCAGGGTGCCATGCGGATGAAGTAAAGACTGTTTTAAAGCTGCGATGCTACATTCTCAAGCTCAAAACCGAACGACCTGAAAGCAGCAATAGACAGGCCACGGTTGTCACGATAAACAGTTGCACTTTTGCAAACTGGCGTCGGAGGACCACATCGTCATCTGTTGCTTTGTTATTTATATCATTCAGGTTCGATTGGTAAGGAAAGCAGATGCGCTTTGCACCATCTTGATACCTCTAGTCTGAACATATCTCTTGACAGTCAAATGCATTTTCTGAACAATGACAGTTTCCACTAAACTGAGAAGGATGTACAGCTATCCGTGAACAACCAAGCGAAGGTGAGTCCTGCACATAGCTTTCTGTTCACCATTCACCGCAACTACCGTCCAGAAATCTTAGGCAGAACAAAGCGGGCGCTTGTACTTCCTCGAAAAATGATCCAGATCGTGTTATGCAATGACAGGCTGGTCCTTTGGAACTTCAGAGTCATGGATGCCTGCATTGGTTCCAGAGTTTTGGCGAGGCTGTTACCGTCATGAATAAGCTTCAGACACCAACAACAGTTATAATAAGGGTAATGAAACAAGCGTGTCGAGCGAACTTAGCAATCGTTCGGGGCTAGAGCATGATGTAACGCATTTTATGCAAATTGAGAAGATCAAGAAATAAAAGCCTACAAATCGACCGAATAATGGACCAACGGCAATTTTCCAGATTTCTCAGAAGTCACCATCTACTGGATTCCTCCATTGCTGTTTATCACCTCTGCGGTTCGAATGATAAACAGCACCCGAAATTTTAACACTAGGATGTTTTCCCCTGGTTTTGTGATAAAAAAAGCATTCAGTTGTAGCATCCTTCCGGTGCCTAGCTGCTATGCCACCCGAAGGAAGCACGAGGGCTGGACACTCCCAGGTTGCCCAAGCCTAGACAGGGGAAGTCAAGAGGCGAAGGTCACATTCGAACCACGGACCTTCCGGCCCGTAAATTCGCGCTCTAACCACTTGGGTCATTTCGGCCCCGGTTATGTGATAAAGTTTGCATGCAATCGTCACAGTGCAGTTGAATTTTGGGATCAACCTTGGGTCTGACTGAATGATTCGGTTTGTAATGATATAGCAACAGCAAATTGTGGGGATTAGGCGGTTTGTATCGCTGCTGCGAGGACCACGTGAGAACCACGAAAACATCAGTCATAACACTTGAAAAGAACGGAAAATGATCTGGCCGTGTATGAACAAGTAGCACCTAACAGTTAACACAGATTATATAACACCAACCTAAAGCATATAGACCATCTGACTGAGAACTCCTCGAACCACGTGACGCAGAGTGGTCCTGAGATAAGCCGTGTCATCAGGAAGTTCTCCCACTGTTCGAACAAAAAAGTTCCCCCAAGCCTGAAACGTTTAGTAAAATTTTCTATCATTGAAACAGTATATCAGAGCACTGTGTTCTTTACAGCTATAAATCTTTAAAGAAAGAAAAACCCAGAAGGGTTTTGTGGAACCGATCCCGTCTTCTAAATTACCTCCAAATAAATTTAGTTATAAAAGGCAGTCTGGTGACTACAACGTAATTAAACGGAACTAGATACTAAAAATAATGTGAACTCCTGAAAGAAGCAAAAGAACAGGTGTGTGTGTGGGGGGGAGGTCATAGAGTTAACGGGAAGCAGTACAAACAAATGCATTGTAGACCGTTTGAAAGACAGTTCACGTAGCTGACCGAACTGACAACATCTACTGGAGACCGGTATTCTTGTCAAAGCGTTCCAGAGCTTGGTGGAACAAACTGACGGTTATTCCGTTGTCTACCAGATAGCAGTGCACACCCAACTGAGAAACGTCTCTGATGTTTCGATCCTCGTCATCGAAGAAAATCATTTCCTTGTAAGGGATGCCGGAGAGCCTGTGAAATCTAACGGTGAGACAAAAGGGCGCATAATGTCGGTTTCGGTTAACTGAATGCAGCTAAAATCATAAACCTGTCAATCAGGCAGGAAGATCGTTAGATATGACAGACGTAAGAATCGAATAAGCTTTCATCTAGCACATAATCGGTGGGATGATGCTATTAGGCTATCCGCATCTGTAGACTGAACCAGACACGAATTGTCCCATCGTGCGATAGCTTCTTTGTTCCGCGGTTTACACCCTAATTTCTGTTCATCGGAGCACCAACACATCAGTATTAGTCAAGGCACTGCTGAAGATACACAACGTTCTCTGAGGTGAGCGTTATGATAGGCTATGGATTTCACCAATGGGGCGATCGATGTGGGGGTGAGGCGGGGGGGAACACCCATCAATCTGAAAGCTGATGCATACTGTGCATGAAAACGCCGAGATTCATGTACTCAATATTCGCAAAGTTCGCAGTCTGTCACTGGTAACACGGCAGTGGGATGTTCAACAGCTAGGGCAGTTGAAATTTATGGGACGGTAGATGAAACCCGACATGAACCTCATCTCGACAGGAGCACCAGTGTTGCATAAGAGACACAGTGAATCCATGTCCAAAGTGAAAACATGCTTTCCTATACAGGAAGAGCATCAGTTTACCTTTCGAAATGTTTCACTTTTGAACCAGGATAGATTTCCATATAGTCGAACAATTCGTCCCATTTGAGTAGGCGTAGTAGCGTTTTCGCTA